TGAGAGCTGGGAGATGCTTGTCTACGGACAGCAGGCTACACCCCTCCTTTTACAGACTGCACGTGCACACAGATCTGAGCACGGTTGTGCTTGGATCAGCAGAGACGGATGATTTAAACAACAAGAAAGGGTCGAGATTTCAGTTCATCCAAACTACTTTTCCTAATTGAGACAAAACGGCAGCAAGAGATACTCCCTGGTTCACGGGCCAGAGTCTTGCTCAGCATGGCATGGAACTGGAAATAGAAGCCAGGCCTGCTAATTCCCAGCCTGATGTACACTTTACACCTAAACACACACACACCAAACACACAGCATTACTCCCACTGAAGGAGGAAGGCTCCCTTGGGGTCTGTTCTTGTAGTTCGAGGGAGAGAAAGTGTCGGCAATTTGCTAATTCCAACTGGAAGCCATCCCTTTTGACTAGGGAAGGAGTAAATAGGTGTTGCCTGCTAATTAGTGGCTATCAGTAAACAGGGAGTGACTTTAGAGAGCCAGGAGGTGAGTAACCTTTCATTTAACTCACATATGAAGGGGATAAATCATTGCAGCTAGCAAGTCTGCAGGTGATCGGCTTTGACAGCTCAGTTCACATGGTCTCGCGCCTGGGAGGTGGCAGCCAGAGCCTACAGCTACACATCTCCAGATCCGGATGTCAACACCTCTGGAAACCCCAGAACTGGGGGACCTTGCAGAATCCAGAACAGGAACTCAACCCCCGCCCCAGCCCCACAACCTCCTGAAAATGTGCGGTGTATTTGGAGCTGGGGCTATGATTCAGATCCACTTCTGCGGAAGACAGGAACTCCGTTCTAGCCTTGCTCCGGGCTGCGGGGTAGGGATGCGGGCCGGCGTCTGCACCGCTGAGGGGCACCTCACTCTGGTCTGTGCATACAGGGTGGGAAATGGTACCGCATCAGACTTGTGCAGTTATTTGCACAGGCCAAAATGACACCACCATGTACGTGCAGAACAGGGCTTTGGAGAACCAGGCGTCTCCTCTGTGGTCCTACGCAAGCCTCATGCACAGCCGTGGTACCTGAATGATACCATAGCATTGTCACGTCTTCCTCTTCCCTAAAGATGTTTGGGGCAAGCCTCCAAGCAGGGGCCACCATAACATCACTGTTGTAAGACTTCATCCTGCCCCCCAGCCAGGACAGCTGCTCCTCTACTACAAAAGATAACTGAAAGGAAATGATGCAATACCCTCTCAATGTCTCATAACCACAGGAGAAAGCAATAATTTGATACCTTGGGTAACAAGTGGACAGGTAATGCATGGCTGAGCAGACCTAATTCTTGCCCACTGCGGGTGGCAGTGCACACACACACATGCCACTTCACCACTTGTGCAATGAGGCGGTCAGCAGGGCAAATAACTCGCTGGCATGCATCAACCGATGCATCTCGTGTAAAACTAGGGAAGTGGTACTCCCGCTGTACTCAGCACTGGTCAGGCCGCAGCTGGAGTACTGTGGCCAGTTCTGGGTGCCGCACTTCAAGAAGGACGTGGAAAGACTTGAGAGGGTCCAGAGAAGAGCCACCTGTATGATCAGGGACTTGCAGGGCAAGCCATACGAGGAAAGGCTGAGGGACCCGGGCCTCTTCAGCCTAAAGAAGAGAAGGTTGAGAGGGGACTTGATAGCGGCTTACCACTATATCAGCGGAGTGCATCAGGAGCTCGGTGAGCAACTGTTCACTAGGGCACCCCCAGGGAAGACCAGGACCAATGGATACACACTCCTGGAAGGCCGCTTCAGGCTTAATACCAGGAAAATCTCCTTCACAGTCAGGGTGTCCAGACTGTGGAATAAACTCCCTCCAGAGGTGGTGCAGTCACCTGCCCTGGAGGTTTTCAAGAGGAGACTGGACAGTCACCTCGCTGGGGTCACTCGATCCCAGTTTTCTTTCTGCCTAGAGCGGGAGGACAGGACCTCATGATCTGCAAGGTCCCTTCCAGCCCCTACAGTGTATGAAGCTATGAATCTATGAAAACCATAGTATATGGTCACATACACACATGCCACTTCACCATAGTATATGGTCACATACACACACACCACTTCACCATAGTATATGGCTGCATACACACACACACGCCACTTCACCATAGTATATGGTCACATACACATGCCACTTCGCCACAATATAGTATCTGAGCCCCAGTCTCTGCACCTTGCCACTTTACATATTATTTGCATCAGCAGTTCCTATTTATCATTTCAGTGGTTAGACTACATGGCCAAGTAGAAAGAAAGACCCAAGACGTGCCGGTTTTTCAGTCTGTATTTATCCACTTACATGATGTGGGAGGAGGATGTGATCAATAAATGTTTGTGAACTGAGCCAACTGGAAAACCAGGAAAGTCATGGCTGTGATGGGGCTGAGCCACTGGGTTTCTAAGAACCTCAGGCACGGAGCAAGGCTCCCTTGTCTATGATGCTGCACAAAGAGAACAAAAATAGGCTCTTGCGCAAATGAGAAGTGATCTCATTTTGTTAGGTAGACTCCAGTGCTTTGAAATTGTATATGGAAATAAGCCTGTGGGAAATCCGGACTCCAAATGAGTAACATCCTAGTACAGGGTTAGGTAAATCATATCAGAAATCTAGGGACTGCATGAACACGGCACTTATTTACTAAATAACACACATGCCTCAATGGGAGAAGGGAACCTGGGTGTCAATGTTGTGTGCTGGTTGTGTAATGCTGGAGAAGCCTTCAAGTGTTCACACCCATCGGGCAGACAGAGAAAGCAGCTCTGATTCAGCTTTCCGTAGCTTGCTTGTCTCTGAGCAGGAGCGTGAAGGGAAAATGATGAACGACCCCCATTCCTCCCCAGTGCAGCCTGGGAGCCTTCCCTGTTCGTGTCACCCCAACTCCCCATCTTCACATTCAGGCTCAATGGAAGATTGTTACAGAGCAGTAGAGTTTGAGCATGATAACACCAATCCTAGAATTATATTGCTAGTAGCCTCCAAAAGGGACGCTATAAGGCTGTCCTTAATAGTAACAATGCCTTGTATTCCTGTCCTGCCCAGGCAGAAGGCAGGGCAGGGTGATCACTGAGCCTGGAGTAGGGTCAGCCTACGTGTCAATCATTTGTCTGCTGAGAAAATGCAGCCACTTCTGGGGCAGAACACAACCGTGACTAGCAACACCACGAGTGAGTTCTTGGGGAAGGAATCAGGTTTATGGCATCCAGCTGAAACTACAGGTAGAAATTAAGGGAAGTGGAAAGCAATTAACTCACATTGGAAGCTGGCCAGGGTATACTGAAAAACTAACTTGTGAAACTTGCACCAAAATATGCCAGCAGGGCCAGGTGTGAGAGGTGTTTCTAGATTACAGACACCATTTTCCTTTTGGAATTGTCTCCTGATCAGGTGAACTGGAGAAATGTGGGTATAATTTTAGGCCGCGAACTTGGACCTTCTGGGCAGCAGAAGCAGCACACTGCTCCCTTCTGCTCTCACAACAGACAGCACTTCCTCTTGCAGTAAAAGAGAATCGCCCACGTTTTTGCAATATGGAGCACTGGATATGTGCACTTCTGATTCCACCCAGTAGAGAGGGACATGCAGACTGGGCAGATCATTAAAATGCCTTTGAGTTTATAACATCTTTAATCCCGAAGGCATTTTTAATGGCTTTGTCTGGTAAGAATGGCTCGCCCAAGCTGCAATGCAGCCTCCTTGAAAGTGGAGCATGGCAAGTCCTGGCAATGCAAGGCAAGAGTTTTCACCAGGGAAGTTTAAATGGCAGGGAAGGTTTTGGGGGAGGCTGAATATCATTAGCCAAGTTGGGATTTAGCCAGAAATGGGAGGCAGGCAGCCCAGTCCTTGCAAAGTTGTGAGATTTTAACAATTAGGAGGAGCACCAGAAGCTGAGCTGCGAGCATTATTCTTCCCAGAGAGCTCAGGAATGAAGGAGCAGCCCTGGCACGGCTGCCCCACAGTGCACAGTTCTGAATCCCATGGTCTTTTAAAGCCAGATTTTTTTTTGTCTTTGTATGGGCAAATTTGGGGTCGGGCAACAGGACTGCAAGGACGTGGAAATCAGGAATGAACCCATTCAGAGTCAAGTACTTTACACGGACACCTCAGAGCTTCCAATCTGGCAAAGCAACTGGTAAAATGAAAGAACTAAAAGCCGCAAGATAAAATGCACCCATCCAAGTTAAAAGCAGCGAGAGCTCCAGCCCTGTCCAGCAGCCAAACCATGGTGCTTGTAAAATTTGTATGCAAAGGCAAGGTACTCATAAAACCAGGCTCTGAAAAGAGCATTGAAACAAAGAGATGCAGGGAAACCCATTCCTAAAAGAGCTTGAAGCTTCATTTCCAAAGAATCGACCTGAGAGCCTAAGCCAGGGGTTATGAAGATTTCCCAGCTCCACCAGCTCCCACTGTAATACCAGTGGCCTGAATTCAGCACCCGATATGCACTCTCCAGGGTACCACAGCTGTTAACCAGGTGCAACCACGAACAACCTGCCTATAATAAGCACCTGACCCCTGATACGTTAGCACAAAGCAGGGAGGTCTGTACCGATCTTAAAAGTTAACCCAGATTTCCCCTGGCGACCACAAAAAAGGACATTGTCACCTTAAGCCTAAAGCAGAGAAAACAGATCCACGCTGCAAAACAAAGCACACTACAGCACCTTGCAAAAACTGTTGAACAGAAGTGAAGGCAAAGCAAGGCTCTGGGTATCATTATGCAACCTGTTATCTAACGACCACAGGGACATTCAATAGGGGCCATTGTTTGCAAGAAGAAAGGAGAAAGAAACGCCACCGATGCCTGAGTCACTCCCTCGCTAAGAGGCGCTGAAGTTATTTTCAGCTCAAAACTTTTCCAGCTGCACATGAGAATTTGGGAGGACTGGCCAGTGCCTGGCTCCGCCCACCAGGTTGGTTAGACAGCTCCCTGCAGCTCTTGTGGATGTATATATACAGGTATGGTCCAGCACCTGGCTACAGAGAGCAGAGCCCCGAGAGCCAGAAGAAAGCTGCACCTTCCTTCTCTCCATCTTCCCACTTCTGCTTCCACCATGAGGAAGGAAGTCTTCACCCTGGCTTTTGCTCGAGCCGTCTTCGTTGAGTTCCTTGCAACGCTCATCTTCATCTTCATCGGCCTCGGCTCAGCCCTGAAATGGCCCTCAGCCCTTCCCAGCATCCTGCAGATCTCGCTGGCTTTTGGGCTGGGCATCGGCACCCTGGTGCAGGCATTTGGCCACATCAGCGGTGCCCACATCAACCCGGCGGTGACTATCGCCTTCTTTGTGGGCAACCAGATCTCCTTCTTCCGGATGCTGTTCTACGTGGTTGCCCAGCTGGTTGGCGCCATCACAGGGGCGGGCATCCTCTATGGAGTGACCCCAGCCAACACCCATGGAAATCTAGCTATTAACGCGGTAAGTGCCCTCCTACCTGGCGATGATTCATGGTGCTGGTGGCCTCGGCTGCCTCGTGTGCAGGTTGCCACCCTCATGCGAGGATGGGAACCCCCCCCCAGCGCAAGCTGAGACTGGAGGTGGATGATCTCTGGCTGAAGCACCTGGGCACTGGCACCCCTTTGCGCTGAAGGAGAGGGCTGGGAGCAAGAGGTAGGCAGCCTCAGCATAGCCAACCTGCGGATTGACAAGACAGGTTGATTACGCCAGATAATTAGCAGGGCGGTTTTTCTTTTTGTTTTTAATAAGTGCTTCTCCTATCCTGAGGGCATGCATGAATCACCTGCACCAGAGATGCGTGCAGTCAACTGCAGCCTCCTGCCGAGTAGGGTAGGGGAAGGGACTGGGCAAGGACTGGAGGGGACCTCAGGGAGACCAGCATGAGCCCACATGAGGTGAGAGGCGAAAGGCTGAAAGACCTCCCGAGACAAGAACAGAAGGAGGTTACGAGCCTGCTCAGACCAGTGTGACAAAGGCAGCAAGGAGACCTTTTGGGTCAGGGCATTAGGGGCCATCATAGCCAAGGACGATGGGAGGTTGGGGATCCTCTTCAGTCTAGTACAGGAGAGAAGACCGAGGTTGGAAGCCCCTTTGGCTAATATATAGGGTAGGTTTAGCTTGCATGGAGGTGCTTGGAGATCATTTCCTGCAGTATGGAGAGGCCGCCCCATGGAGCAGTACAAGGAAGGCTCGGAGAGCCTTGCTAGACCAGCATAGGTAGGAGCTTGCAAGACTAGTATAAGGCATTTTGTTGCCTCCCAGCAACAAAATCAGCCCTGAGCAAAGCTGGGATGTGTGCGCCAGCACCCCAGCTCCCAAGAGACCCTCCTCCCACTGCACCCTGGACCTGAGCTTCGTCCCAGTCCCAGGAGCCGGAGCCTTCTGGCGCTTGGCTCATTAGAGACGGCAGCAGCTGCACTGACCTTGTGATGGAGAGCCACGGGATCTCCAGCTCCCCTGCAGTTTTCTCCCCACAGATTGCCCATATCCTCCCTGCAGAGCTGACAGGTGCTGGCAGTTTGGGTGCATTAGCTATCAAAGAGAAAAGGGCTTTGCAAATGCCAGACAGAGAGAGAGGCAGGCCGACAGACGGGGACTTCCCAGTCGGGCAGACAGAAGACAGCTAATAATCCTATCCCCTCTCAGCCTTCACTTTTCTAAGCGAAACAAGCCAAGCTCCTATCGTTTCCCACTGGAAACCAGGCTCCAGGGGAAATCGGATTCCTCCCTTTTCCTCCTCCCATGGCCTACAGGGGCAGAAAAAAATCTCAAGGGGGTCCGTCTTGTTCGCAACTCACTGGTTGCTTCTCTGTTCGTAAAACCCATCCTCTCCATTAAAATCTGCAGAACCTGCCCTGCTTCTCCAGCGTGACAGCCACATGGCCCACTTCTGCTTGCCATCACCCTATGTCTCACCCCCCTCGAGTCCATTCCTTCAGAAATCACCCCTGCCCTGGGCCCGTTCACTCTCAGGCTACCAAAACCAATGGTCCCCTTCTGGAAAAGGCCCAGCACCATCTTTTCAATGAGACCATGAATCATGTCTTCTCCTTGAGGGTGGTGCAATTCTGGGCTTCCATCCAGCCTGGAGTTATGTCAAGTTGGCAAGTTCCCGCCTCCAGAGTCATGTCTATCAAGATTAAGATGTGCAATCCCAGATGTGCTTTCCAGCAATGCCAGCAGAAATAGATGCAGTTCTACCAGCAAAATGTGCTTTTACTAGTATGGTTTGACAAGAGAAGGAAGGGAGCTGGAACTCAGGGTGGTTTTACTGATGGAGCTGCAGCTGTGTCTTGTCCATAGGAAAGAGCTCCCGATTCAGGCATGGCCCCATGCTGAGCAGCCTTAGGAGGACTCTTCTATCTGGCTCAGCCCAGCAGCCAATTAACTGTCATTCTTCCTCGTTTGCAGCTCAACAACAACATAACTTCCGGCCAGGCACTGGTAGTAGAGATCCTTCTCACCTTCCAGCTGGCCATGTGCATCTTCGCCTCTACTGACAACCGTCGGACCGACAACCTGGGCTCTCCCGCACTGTCCATTGGCCTCTCTGTCTCCTTGGGCCACTTGATTGGGGTGAGTGTTTGCACACAGGGCCTCCTGAGGGTATGGGGCACCAGACCTGGCTAGGAGGGAAGTTCCCAGTTGCCTTTCCCTGTAAACAGAACTGTAGTGAGGGGGGCAGGAGGACCGGCTCTTGGAAGGGGGCTTCCAGCTACTCTAAACCCAGTTTTTCCCAGCAGCAGGGAGATAAGCAGGACACCACGTACAGGCAGAGGGGAACGATGGCAGCTCCCATCCCAGCCTCTTCCAGCAAGACACTTTGCTGCGCTGGCCTTGGGAAACTTGTAGCTACCCCAGCTCTAGCCCTTCCCAAAAGGAGGCACTGTAGAGAGGGGGGAAGAAGAGGAGCTCCCAGCCACACCACTGGCACCCAACTGGAGGTCCCGATCTGGTACCCAAGGCAGGCATCCAGCCACGTGGAGGGGGGCGGGGGCAGCCCAGCCCCGATCCAGCTGTGCAGTGGAAGTGGGGTTGGCCCGGCAGGGGTGGAGGGGGCACGGCCTGGCTTGCCCACCACTCCTAGGAAAGGGGCTGTATCAGGAACAGTGTAAGAAAGCCAGGTGGGATGGGGAAAGACCTGTTACTCCTTTTGCATAGGGCAGAAAGACCAGAATGAACCTTAATTCCCCATGTCCCTTCTGCCCCCGACAGATCTACTTCACTGGCTGCTCCATGAATCCTGCCCGATCTTTTGCGCCGTCTGTCATCATGAGAAGGTTCAGCAGCGCCCACTGGGTAAGGACTGGCCTCCTGGCTCCCATCACAGCCGGGGCTGGTAATCGCAGGGGAGAAGGGAAGGCTGGGCAACCTGCTGGCTTGCCAGCATGGGTCTTCATTCGGAGGGCAGCTCTGCTGCATGCAGGGCTTATTTCTCCAGGGGAAAGGTGGTATTTGAAGTAGACAAGTGATGTAGGGTGGGGAGGGGACTGGAAGGCCTGGCTTCGTGGAGAAGGTAGGTTTAGATCAGGGGTAGGCAAAATGCAGCCCGGGGGCTAGATGCGGCCTGCCAGGCCATTCTATCTGGCCTGAAAAAATGTAGAAAATTAATATTTATCTGCCCTGGCTGCCTGTCATGCGGCCCTCAATGGCTTGCCGAAACTCAGTCAGCGGCCCTCTGCCCAAAATAATTGCCCGCCCCTGGTTTAGATTAACAAAACAGAAGCTGGTCATGGGGCAGGATGAGTGGGTTTTGACCGGCACTAAGAAAGGGCTTGGGTACCTCCATGTTCCCTCTGCCCTGCTCCTCCTCCTGGGTGTGTGAGTGTGTATGTGTGCATGTGAGTGTGTATGTGTGTACACGGGTGACCCTTAAGAAATGTCAGGTTCATAAAAAAAAATGAAAACCAAAGTTTCATTGAACCTGCCAGGTCTTCAATCACAGGACCAGCCTTTCCCAACCCTAATTTATAGCTTTGTTCCAGAGAAGGCTACTGCTCAGCAGTTATTATGAGCCACTCTGAGCCTTTCTGGATAGATCGGGATATACATCTAAATAATAATGCTTAGACACCTGAGCTTTGTTGTGCTGGATGCTATACAAACCTGGGAGAAAACCCTGTGGGTTTTGTGCCCCCGGGCGCCTGGTGCATTGGATTAGGTGGAGGAGGTAGGTGCAATCTTGCTACCAGAGCTAAGGAGAGCTCTGCTTGTTTAGCCTAGAAGGGCAAAAAGGGTTGGCGTATTCCCTGTGCCAATGCCACAAGAAGGGGAACAGTGTCAGTGCAAGAACGTGCAGGCACACGCCAGCCATAAATAAAGACAGGGAGGAAATGGGATAAAAGTTTCCTCACCATCAGAGGGGCGAGGTCCTGGAACATATTCCCAAAGGTAGGGCAGGCGTGGTGAAAGCAGGCAAGCAAACTTTTTTCGAGGTAGGTTTTGATGTGGTTGGCAGGGGCAGCTAGACCCTCAGCGTGCTCACCCGGCATATCTGTATTCTAGCGCTAGGTCCTCCTTCCTCTTGAGATGTTGGTGGCACCACTTTGAAATCCCCTTCTTGTTTCCAGGTCTTCTGGGTAGGACCCATCCTCGGAGCAGTCCTGGCTGCGCTGCTGTATTTCTACATTCTGGTTCCCTACTGCATGAACATGTCTGACCGGATAGCCATCGTGAAAGGCACCTACGAGTCCGAGGAGGAGTGGGAAGAGCAGAGGGAAGAGAGGAAGAAGTCCATGGAGCTCACCTCCCCGTAAGCGCAAGCGCTGGAGGGAAGCGAAGAAGGAAGGAGGACAATGAACAATCCCAGAACCATAGGCTGAATACAAGACCTCACACCTCAAAACCATTTCTATCCAAGAAAGAAAGGAGCACCAATCTGCATATATAACCTGCCTGTGTGATTACGAGTGCAAGTCCTGCACATATTGCTAGCCTAACTATAGACGGCTACACCCAGCAGAGGGTAGTCTGCTACTGGCAGGACTTCTGCTGTTCCACGCAGCTCTTTCCTTGACCTTGTAGACGAGAGGTCTTGATTTTTCTCCCACTCCAGACTGAAGGAGCCATTATACAGGCCTGAGACCACATCCTTCCTGCACCCAGAGCTCCCGCCAATGTTTAGGGGGAGAAAAGGGACTGGACACTGCACGAGTACAGAGAAGGGAGTCTGCTTGCTTCTGGCAGGGAAAAGCAGCAGATAGATTTTTTTTTCCCCTGCCTTCCTGTGCTGCACCTGATAGCCAAAGTCTCATTTTCTTTTTCCCCTTAGGAATAGTTGCTTTTTCCCCTGCGTTAGCAGGTATGGGTGACTCCTGTTCATTGGTTGCAGCAGGAGAACATGGTTTTGGCCTTTCTATTTGGATCTCTGTAACATATGCCATTATTTATTGTAAATAAAAGAAAAAGTAAGAGATTTAATTTAATTTAAAAAAGACGAAAGAAGCAGCGTGGCTGAGGTCTGTGGGTCACAAAGGGTTAACCTTGCAAGCAAAGCGGCCTTCAGAGAGGAAAAAAAATGCTTAGCACTGCAGATACCTAAATGAAGCAACCCCCTGGTACGAATAATGACCTCCATTTGTGCAGAGGGGGGAAACTTGAGGCATGGAAAAAGGCATTAACTGGGTGTGCTTTCCAAGTTAGATCCTGGTTGGATACCCCAGAATCAGCAGCATTGCTTGCCTGTGGTAGCAGAGCAAGTCATGAGAGAGGAGACTGGATTTCAGGGTCCCCAGTGGCAGGCTCGGCCTGGGAAGGGCTGGATCTGGTGTCCCGCCTGTTCAGCGCACAGCATAATTTCCAAGTTGGAGCAGAGGTCACAGCCAGAGCTGGGTGATATTTTGTGCCTATACTTTGGGCCTGGTTCCAGGCAGGGACATGCAACATTAAGTAAGCTTCCTTTGGGTGTTTTGCTGGGTTGGCTTAGCCCTGAATCTGCTCTACCAGTTCTCCCACGCAGCTCGGCACTGACCTGCCACGCTTCCCACCCCCCGTGCAACAACTGCTGTGCTGGGCTCACGTGCTCCCAGCACAGCCCAGCACACACCTTCGTTCTGACCTCCCGCCGCACACCTGTTCTTCCAGTTCTGCCGCTCACCTCTGCCACCGAGCCTGGGTCCTGTCCAGCACTGCCCATGCACTCCTGATCCTGGATATCCCACTGCCACCCACACGGCTCTGCCAGTATCCCCCAGTCCTGACCCATAACCCCCACAGCCCAGCTCACACAGCCTTAGGCTCCCCCACCCCAGCCATACCCGTTGCTTTTTATTTATCGATTGATTTTTAATTTTGTGTCTCGGGCCAAATGAGCCGAATTGGTTCCAAATTCTCTCAGCCGAGCAGAGCTCAATTGTGCCAGTCCAGGCAGTGCAACCCCTGCAAGCCTCCTGCCTCCCACACTGTTCAGCCCAGGGCTTCAAATCCTCCCAAATCTGCCGCAGCATCCCCCAGCCTGGAAGTCTTGGTGTTCAGATGGCCCCTAGTCTTGCTTGCCCTGAGCCAAAAGGCTGAAGGAGCTGGCTAGAAGGGAAGTCAGAGAGCAAATCCCCTTCCCCATAAATTGTGTAGCCGAGATCTGCCCATTGGGAGGCATTATAAACTCTCGCAGGGGTCAGCCTGCCTGCAGTGCAAGGGACAGGTCTCCATCTTCTAACAATACCAAGTCCTTCAAGGCTGAGAAGAAGGGGATCTCCCCTGGGCCAAAAAGCCACGGCATCATGGTGCTGCTGACCTGCTGATATCCCAATAGCTCCTGAACTAGGATCCTCCTGCATCCGCAGTCCTGACAGGTGCCACATCGCAGGTCTGCGGGTCCCTCTAGCTATCACAGTCCTGAACTCCCTAGTGGAGATTTGGGATCAGCTGGGCTGGGTATTGTTATCCTAGCAGAGTCCTCCAATTTGGTATCTAGGGCAGGCCTTGCTAAACTTATACCTGGAACCAAAGAGCAAAAAAAA